ATGAGTGAGTTTATGACCATCACTGTTCTGTCACATTAAGTAAGCCATTTACTTAGGATAAGCTGAGAAACCTTTCCATTTTTTTCACTTCCATGTTTATCCATATTTATCTAATCAGTTTTATAAGATGCAATGGATGAAGTATTATACATGTATACTGCAAGTGGACCATTATTAAATCGATGGCAGGTGTCAGGAGCCAGGTTTCTCACTGCTGGAGTAGGGGTTACAGATAAGCAGATGGAGGAGACTCGAATGATCTATGTAGTAATAGATTAGCCTTGGATACATCAGTATGAACTCACACTGAGCTTGTTAGAGACACAGATGTTACATATGGAAATATTTACAGACATGTATATATACACAGGTTAATATATGTACATATATCTCCTTGCTCTATCCTCTGAGAGGTCTTAGAAATAATGGCTCTCTGGTAGCAGTAGGCATACCTCACCCCTACATCTTAGTTTCTGATACCATCCTCCAGTAAAAGAAGTCAGAGATCCTTGGAAAAGTGGCTGATTCTAAGACTGAGGCAGAAAATATACAGTGAGCCCAGAGTATCTTAAAGTGCCAAAACGTTAGGAAGTGCTCAAAAGCCAGTGAACAAGCAGCCACAATGATGGGGGTATGTCAAAAGCATGCAGGAGCCACTGAAAGAGCAGTCAGTAGCAAAGGTGGAACAATATGAGGAATAACATGAGGTAGTAATGGACTGTAACCTAAAGTATAAAATACACATTTATGAGTCCATACTGATATGAGTAAATGATTGAATAAATAAATAGGGAAGAAGAGACAAATCTCTTGTACAGAAGAATTCCAAATAATCTATTTAGACACTCTGCCCCTAAAGAGATGGGGCATAACTCTTTAAGGGTGACTTTCTTCCAAAGAGTACAGTATGGAAACGGAGAAAAAGAGTAACTTCAGTGAAGAAAACTGACAAACAGTACCTTAAGCCAGGTGATCAAAGTGAACATCAACAGTGCTGAGTCATGTTGATAGTACTTACTCCTGATATGGTGAGAAAAACACTTTATCTCTGTGATCCCCCTCCCAATAACACATATTCGTCAGCCTAATCATGAGAAAAGCATAACACGTATGCAAACTGAGGGACATTGTACAAAATTCCTGACCAGTACTCCTCAAAACTGTCAAGGTCCTCTAAAAAACAAAGGAAGTGTAAGAAACTGTCTCAGACCAGAAGAGGCTAAGGTAGTGACCAAATGTAATGTGGTATCCTGGATGGAATCCTGGAACATAAAAATTAACAGTAGGGACAAACTGAGGAAATTGCAATAAATAATTGCTTTAGTTAATAACAATGTGTTGATATTGGTGGATTGTGACCAATGTACCATACACACGAACGATGCTAACAATAGTGGAAGCTGGGCATGGGGTATACAAAACCTCGCTGTATTACTGTCACAATAATTCTGAAATTCTGACACTGTTATATTTGTTCTAAAAATGCAATGGATGGGCCTGCGCGTTGGTTAGGAGTTGGCTTGGGATGCCAGCTCTGAGCAGCAGGGCGCCAGTTCGGATCCCACATGATAGCCAGTGATGCTGCGCCCTCTACAGCTAAGATGGTGAACAACAGCTCGACCTGGAGCTGGGCTGCCGTGAGTCACCGGCAATGGCATAGGCTGCAGTTGGCCGGCTGGCAGCGAGCCTGGGCTTTCCTGAGCTGCCGTCCAATTCCCAGCAAGCGACTGCCTCTCCTTGGAAGAGGGCAATGATAATACCAACATGGGCAATGATAATACCAACATGGGCCAGTGAAGCGACGTCCTCCACAACTAGACTGAAGAACGAAAGGACAGCAACTTGTCTGTTCCCCTTCCCTGATTCCTCAACGCTGTTCCCTCCTCCAATTCCCCAATAAAATCTTAAAAAAAAATGCAGTGGAAGTGCTTTATTCCCACTAATCTCTCTACAAAATATTCTGATTGCTGAAATCTTTAGGGAAGTTTAAGTATCGGTAGTTTTGTCAGTTGGCTAGAGCAAAAGTCAATTGTAAAAGATAAGCTCTGTTATGGCGATTTGCTTGACTTCTTATGGGGCCACTGGGAGACCCTAATCCTCCTAATCGGGTCCCTGCTAAAGTCACATGGAAGGGAAATAGCTGTGGGAATGGCATCTTCTTTCCAAGGTCATCACTATCCTGAGAATCTTGAAACATTCCCAATCTGAATAGCGAGGCTTTTACATTCAACACAGATGTCTTATGAACAGCCATCAAATAACATTAATGGAAAAAAGAGAAGAAAAAATCCCTGTCTTTTCCAATCCATTTAAGATTTGCTTTGTCACAAGTCTGGTCAACAGTGACAAGTGACGTGAAGCTGCACCGTGTAGGAAAGACCCACTGCTACCTTTGCAATCTAGTGGGGTGGCAAATGGGGACATGTTATGTTTGTGAGAAGTATTCAAGAATGAGACTCTAGAGTGCATGCTAGAGCCATTGAGTTGTTATTACCTTCAATGGAGGTGCCTTTGAGGGAGAAAATATTTTTTCCCCACAATATAGGATATAGTAAAGAATGGCAGATGCTGGCTTGAAGCAGAGATTATAAAAAGGTTCAAAAATAATTTCCCAAGATAAATTTTCACCATATCATTAAAGGAGAGCCACACTGCATCTTCTTGCATGATATCTTCTTTTGTTTCATTGCCACTTACAGGCTATACCAATACAGAGATATTTTGGTCTAATGTAATTATCTATCTATCTATCCCTGAAAGTTGCCAGTGATTTCTCAGGCCTTTGAAGAATCCGCTAGTAGTAGATTTCTATACAAGCGTTGGAGAACAAAAGGCTCTTAGCACAAAGGTGATAGGGAATAAGATTGAGGGGAGATAATGGCCTGTGGATAAAAAGAGGGTAAGGCAATATAAACATAAAATTTAAAATACTAGTAACCAATTGTAGCTATAGACATTATTATGCATACAAATTATATATCACATATTATATTCTTATATTATTAATGTATAGTAATATATATTATTATATATAATTGAGACCAGGAACAAGTCCAAACATTAATAGATGAAACAGCATAACAACAAACAACAAAACAATTGTTAGTTTTATGTAGAGAAAAAAGCAAAGTAAAATAAAAACTGAGGTAACAGAAAAGGAAAACAATACATGAAACTTTACAACAAAGTGAGAGAAGCAAGGGGAACAGGAAGGACGGTGACCCGGGAGGAATGTGTTTGATGGAATTTGGGGGCTGCCCGAGTAACCCATTTGGGGGTCACACAGACAAGCCCATGCTGGCTCAGGGCACAGGACATTTACTCCATCTGAGCCACAGACTCTAGCCCCCAAGTCTTAGATCTGACTGAGGAGGGCCTGTTCTCTTTATTGAACATCAATTCAATTTCGTCCTTTGAGTTCCAAACTAACACCTCTGGCCTTTCTTGTTTTGCCTACCATATTGCATCTCCCTCTTACTCTTAACATCATACTCCTAATGCATTCTTTTAAGATTCACCCAAAACCCTACCCAGCCTGAGAGCAGGTGCCTTGATTTTTTCTTGAACTTCCTGCTTGGTGCAATGTGCTCTGAATATTCATCATACACACTGATTCCATGTGTCACATGATGAACTATTTGCTTTATAGGAAAAGTCTGGAGCCACTGAACCCAAAGAGGAGGGACTACCACTAAATCCAAGTATTCCCACAGTAGGATAAGCTTTCATGGTTAAATAAATTATTAAAGTCAGGTGAATAACTTCTTTTTATTATTCAGTGGCTCTCAATTTCACAACTCTAACAGGGTTGGGGGCAAATAGTGAGTACTCTGCTTGGATTTTCTTTATAGAAGAAAAAAAGTCCCACCTCTCTAAACACTTAAAACTAAGTTAAAACCATACCATTTCCTTTGGAAAGAAAAGATTTTTATGAACTGTGACCATTCTCTCAAAGGAGTCGGAGTCCTGCCTTCCATCTTCTTATTAAGTCACCACATTTCCTGCATGTGTCTAGGTGACTGGATCGTTCTGAAAGGCACATAGAATTACCCTTTCCTCTAGCACAGCAGCCTTTGGTCCTCGTGTAAACCTCACAATATACTTTCAGTATTTTCGTTCTTCCTAACTTCAGTCTTGAAAAATGATGTGCCTGTACTGAGACAGTTTAAAATAGGGAGAGACTAACTCTTTCAGCTAAAATGAAACTTGTCCTTCAAAGCAGTCGCCTTGGGTTCTCCACACGTATCCAAATGACACTGCCACTGTTCAAAAAACGGTTTATGGAAGTCGGTTTAGGGTGTTGCCTTTACAAGAAAGTTAGGCTCCACTTCCTAACTCCACATTGTGTTTGACTAAGAATGCTGTTTCCTCACTTAACTGTCTGCTTGATAGCAGATCACTTTGGGAATATTATTATTATTATTATTATTATTGCATTTTATTTATTTACTGAAGATCACTTTTGGTTTAAGAAAACGGAGTTCATTCTCCCAGGACAAAGATTTGCCATCACTGAGGAGAGTCAAAAGAATGTATAACACATTGTGAAGGCAATTAAACATGGTGGCATTTCAAACTTGTGTAAATACCTCATTGGAATATGTGAATAGCTTCCGAATGTTTACTGGAGAGGGGATCGCGTTTATTTGGGGATAGAAGTTGTGACATGAGTGTTAACAAAACAAAACAAAAACAAACAAACACAAAAACCCAACCATATTACTTTATAATTTTACATAGAAAACTTAATTATAAGCCTCTCTAAGCCTCATTCTTTTAAATTTGAAAAGCTAGCTAAAAATGTGATTTTTTTTCAATATTCCTGGAAAAAGATTTTGATCAGAAATTTCTATTTTTAGTTGTTTTAATTCAAAATCTCTAATAGCAAAAATTTTTATGATGCAATAAAAATTTGTTGTGAAATCATATTGAGGAGAGAAATAAATTGATCTCACCTAAAGTATTTTCTCTCACATACCAAAAAAAAATCCACTTAGACATATAACCAAATGTTATTTAATATCTTAAAAAGTAACACAATCCAAAATGGATATTTCACACAACACTACATAAACAACATGAACACAATATTACCATATGGAGGGACTTTCAAATATAGACTTACAAAAATCCCTGTGCTTTTTTATCTTTTAAGTTATTATACTAAGCATGACAAGTAATCATCATTTACAATATGGTACACTGACACGATAAAAACCATGTTACAAATGTGCTGTTATAAATCAGTAACATTAGGGAAGACATTTCATGAACTGTAATTATTTCATATGAAATACTATACAATATAAACAGAACATCCATCTTGGATGACCTTTACAGCAACCAGAGACCAAGTAATTTAAAATTTTTTTTTCAGTGCAAACACATTTTATTCAAGGCAGTCTTGGCTGCAAAACTCCTTTCTAACATACAGTAAATCCCACTTGCACTTCTTAATTCATTTACCCTAATGCAATAGTCACATTCAGTCACTCAGAGAAAGATACCTGCAGAATTATGATCCCTTTAAACTTAACATTGAAATTTAATTCTCTGCTAGAAAGTCGTATCTATGTCAACTACTCTAAGGACCTTAATTTGTAGCTGTCAATACTTACAGGAAGGCGACCCTAGGGCAGCTTAGTGCTAACCCATCGTGTGTGCACAATACCACACACTAGTTTGCTCTTCCAATGTGGAAACCACGGCGGTGTATCGGTATCTAGGCGGGGAAATGAGGCAGAGGCAGGGAGGACCTGGGAGGACAGGAAGGCAAGGAGCTGCTGGGTGTGTACTTCATGATGCATTTCCTGTAACTGCGGAGGACTGACATCGGAGGAGATCTCAGATCTCAGATTTGGTACCTCTTTTTGGTGGGAGCAAGGGAACGGGGGTGCCAAGCTCAGCCTTTGCACAGGGAGGTAGGCAGCTGTATGCGGATCAGCCAAGTTTCTAGCCTTAACATAGGCTTCACTTGGAAAACAGCCCCTTGCCTCGTTGGCGGGGTGTGTGTGTGTTCGCATTTGAAGCCAACAGGAGCGATTAAAGCCCGATAACTGCTAATATACAATCATAAGAAGGAGGTTTCGTCCCCCTTGAGCCTTGTAGCATTCTGAGCCTTGCAAATCAGCAACTGTAAGATACAGAACCGTGAAAACACAGGATTATGTATTAGGGGAGCTATCACCGGGGAATCTCTCTCTGGGATACTGCTGCAAAAGACGCCAAGATTAACTCAATCAGGGAGATGCCAATGTCTGTTTTGAACACACCAGGAAATTTAATAATGACTTTTTTCCCCCAGTATATATAATTTATGAAATGTCTCCTAAATAAAGATCTATGGGAAAATATTGGATGTACCCTTAATACTGTAAACCCTCCTAGGAGAGTGACGAAGTGACAGCTGATTCTTTTATCTTACTTGGCACAGATCAGACCGATGATAATCTCTTTCCTGCCCATATTTTACTAACCCAAAGCAAAACAATATTTTCCATGGCTTTTGCATTCATTTTTTTCCCTGTGTTGTAGCTTCCCCGAGCCCTAAATGTACAGAAAAGTTGCTAGGGAACAAAAGAGTATTGGATGCCTTGACAGTGAGCAGGACAGTGCTGGGGGCTGGGCAGAGGGTAGGAAGGGATGGCTTCTGCTGGAGTCTGCACTGTCACCTGACAGCATGCTGCCAGCTGCTTCTGTGACTGGCCTGTGGCAACAGACAAGATCCTCGTCAAGAATCTTGTATCTCTTAATTTGAGAAAACACTGAGAACTAGATCAGCTCCCTCGAAAATCCAGATTCTTCAAAGTAGGGCTCAACATATTGTACTGAATTTCTGTTGTGCTAAGAAGCACTGTGAAGAGTACTTGATAAAGTTTTTAATTAAAATTTCTGTTTCAGCACCTTCCACTACCAGGAGCAGTCATGTTCCTGAAAGATGGTATTTTTAGCACAGGAATTATAGAAGCCCAATATGAAACTGTAAACAAGGGTGTGTGTCTAGATCTACTTCGGACCACAATGGCATTTGAGTGGATTTGTTAATTTCCCACTTTATAAATCGATACCATTAAGGTGTACCGAGGTGTAAAATTCCAAACACCCTGAATTTTTTGAATGAAAATGGACAAAGGTGTAAAGTTGTATTTGTTTTCTTTGACTTTATTAGCACACATCAGAAAAATAGCATTATATTGATTTCTCATGATGGTCTATCAAACAGATAGAAAATTGATCACTGATAGCTGCCACTGTGTTTCCGGGTAATCTTATGTCACTCCTTCTGTTTATTCATTTCAAGTATGGGTATTACAAATATGACCTGCTTGGTTAATTGTTTGTGAATATGAATGCTTTGGAAGCACTTGAGATCCCAAAATGAACTTGCAAAGTCATTATAGGTTGTTGTTGGTTTTTAATCAAGCTCCAAATACTGCCCATGTTATAAATGATGAGACTTTTCAAAATATGATCGCTACTGTATCGTGAGCAATATGCCAATAATTTAAGTTAAAAACTTTATTTTCAAGTACACTTTGTGGTGATAAGTGGTTTATCCTGGGTAGAATTTTACAAAGCTGTGCCAACCTAAAAAAGGAACAATGCTTTCATTTTCAATGAAGAGGTTTTTATTTTTTCTCCCTAAGGTGACTGCAATATAATTTAAATTTGCATTTTGGAAATGCTAGTTGGGTTATGAAAAAGGGAGATTTGGGAACAGCTGGTGTTCAGATCATTGTTACTCCAGATTAACTTTCAATTTATGCTTCCTGAACTTGAGCTTCATAGCCTCAGAGAAGCAGTCATGTGTTATTTTTACTCAGCTAGTCCCCTTTCAGCTCTTCTATTTGTTTTTCTCTGTTTGATGGCACCCCCCCGCCCCCGTTTTCATATGTTCATTAAGGTCCCCTGAGATGTGCAAAATATATAAAATGGAATACAAACTATTTAACAGAAGTTGCGAAGACACAGCACAGCTCTTTTCATTCAAAAGAAGTTGGGCTGGATATGGTAATATGTGAGTGCAGGCAGAGGACCAAAGTGCTTCAAAGTTGGCAGTCCCAATTTCTTGTGTGTCTTGTGTTACTGAAAGACTAGAATTTAAATCAGATTTTTATAGGAGTAAATAGCTCACTAAATTATGTTTACCGATTGGCTCTTTGCCAGGGGGAGCTTTTAGCAGGAATTAGGGGGTGGGGGAGACAAGAAATTTAAACTTCCTATCATTCATAACAAAATCAAGTGCGCTTTTGTGGGGAAGAAAGGAGAGACAGGTTTACATCTGAAAGTGAAATAATGCCGTAAAAGAAAACCATGGCAATGGAAAAGTCATGAGTCCACGTAGGCAATCATTGACACACACACAGAATGCCATGGCCTAATGATAAAGTTTTAAACTTTGCTTTTCTGAACAATACACTTTAACGCACTGCTGCCGCTTCATCAAATTTATGGAGGTAGTTATATGTAAAAATAAAAATTACCATAAAGTAATATGCTGTATCATAATAATACATAAGTGTGCAAAATGCCGACAGATGGGTTGACCCTTTAAAGTTGAACGCTACACAGAGATTCAACCAGATTCAGTTTTGTAAACCTTTCAATTGATAAGCTAAGTGAAGACTAGATAAGCAGCCATGTAACACAAAGCTATCACTTCACTGGAGGAAAAGGATGTTGGCGAAGCTTGGAGCGGCCCAAGTGTTTGGTCACCAAGAATCTCACTGTAGACCATTGGGTCACATCTGTAATGTGCTTCCTGCCACTACTCCTCCCCCACTCAGGAATCCCAAATAGATTTCGACAGGGGATCTTTCTACATGGAATGTCTACTTATATCATATCATCTTTAAAGTCCATCATTTCAATGCTCATGGCTGCTGGTCTAAGGGAGTTCTTTTTTTTAAATCATGTACCCCATAGCATCAGGCAAATAGTGTACACATTTTATCTGAATAACGTCTTCTGTAAACCTATTTCTTGTGAAATATTGATAAATTCATATTTTAAAGCTTCTAAAGGTAATGCTTTCCTTTCCTGTTCACACAGCATTTGATTATTATAATGGCTACTTTCAGAGGATCAACTAGAGGCTGATGTATTGTTTCAATGGTTATATTATTTATGAACTGAGAGTATGATAAACACTTGAGAGCAGGTTTTTGGGAAAAAAAGACGAATTTAGGCAGAAGAATTTAACAACCGTATGGTATACAACTCCCCAAGGAATCAGACTCTGTATATATAGTCTATTAGATACATTATCATTCCTTCTGGTTGTATTTTTAAGCAATGAGACAAATAGTGCATTTCTGAACAATCAAGGCATGCCTTGGAGGAAATAAGGAATGACACTGAGAGCTAACTGACTTAAGCATTTCAGTGGTGTGGGAGTTTACCAAGAAATGTGCTTATGTTTTACTATAAGCACAAAAAAGAAATCGACACTAGACTCAATGAGTCCAGTTCCCAATGTAACTTCCAAATAGCTGAAAAAGCATGAGGGAGCACCCAAATGTTTCAAGAATCAGTCCAACAATGTATACGACTGCATTCTTTAAACAGATTGCTAGTGATTAAACCTAAATACTGTAGCAGAAGTCTTTCACAAACTTTATGCCATTGACTGAAATCTGAGGAGAAAATAGTTTCGATTTATTTGGGGATATATATTTTATGGTATATGGCTCCAAACATCACATGCCACTAAACAAAACTTTTTGTGTCATATGTAACCCTTTTGCAAATAATTTTCCATTATCTACAGATTTATCCCATTGTTCTTATAAAATAAAACACAAGGAACTTTGAAAAGTCTCTTTCCTAGAAGGTTGAAAGCTTGATTGTTTGTAATCACATTGCTGCTAACCGGGCGGGCTTCTTTGTATTCGACATGACATTGTAAACCAAAGCCAAATATTAAACCATTTTGAAATCAGTTGGGCTAATAACCATACATCCACCTAAAAATGCCTCCTGAAATTGGTTACAAAGTTATCTGTAAACATTACTCTGGCATAGTTCATGTATGCATAATCATTATTCTGGTAAATTTTACGGGAGTACAAGTTGGAATTATACCACACTTGCAGAATGAGCATATTCTGTTGTTAATTACATGGGCACATGTATATTTCTGATCAAAAATTATTTTAAAGTTTTCTCTATAGATATCTTCCCAGGAATAAAAGGCCTGAAGTTCAACTCTCCCTAAATTTGCTCTTTCCTATAGCCACTAAAAATCATCTCCCACAGCCTAATTTAGGCATTCTATTTAAAACTACATAAAATAGATTTATGTCCTTCCATTAGAAAGAATAACATCCCCAGGCCATACTCTTCATTTGTATCACAAAGAACATTCTGCTTTTAAACAAACTAATTATTGTATCTATTATATTAAGATAGGATCACCAGAAGTATCCCAATAGAGGAAATGATCTTCCTTACATATTTGACTAACACCTTTTGAAAGTCCACATTACCTCTTCCATCACTTAGTGCTGTGCCCCAGTCAGGCTGGGGACCCCCTTCCCTTTTCTCCACTTCAGACTCCAAGGCCTATATTCCTGTTTGTGATTATGGAAGGTTGAAAATCAGACAAGCATCTGTTACACTGAAAAACAAAACTCCTGAAAAGAAACACTCCCAGTATTTCAATCATGACCCCTTCTGACACACTTCCATGGGCTCCTGCAGAACTGTGTCACAAAAACTCACAGTGAGAAATGACTGGTGCATAAACAATTCACACACAAAGGGCTGGGGTCGCTTCTCGTCAGTTTGGCGTTGATTTCCCTCAAGGTGGGCCCTTGCATTTGACATTTTGTGGTGGCTTAGTTTTTTGTTTGTTTGTTTGTTTTGTTTTTGTTTGTTTGGAAGTGTCAAGGATCAGTTCTGTGGCACCATCTGCCCACAGACTGGGAGGAACACACATCTGTGGCATTTAAAAATGGAATTGGCAACTGCATGACATTGAAAATGCATATTACACTTACAGTGTCTAGACTTTCCTATGTGTGCTCAGTTACAATTAGTGAAGCAAAAGTGTACATATCACCCCTACTGCTATTCTGTTTCTACAGAGCCATAAATGTGAAAAGCAATACTCTGAAAGAAAGATTTTTTTTGTGTTTTGCTCTAGCCTACTTAGCAGCACAGTTTAAGTAAACACAAAAACTGTGGTTGAGATGCTTGTCTTTCCGAAGATGTAAACATCAGTCCCAGTGTCGTAAACTTGGCTGTATCGAATGAGACAGGAGATCTGAGGCAGAACGATTATCACACACTAGTAACAGAAGCTTGCAAGCAGTTGGAGGGTTTCTGTAACTTCTCAGCTTCGTTTGTAGGGGGGTCCGTACTCGCTCGGAAGTTGAAGGCCGGGCCAGCTCCACCATGGGCTGGGCTCAAGGTAGGGTTCTGACGACGGTTACTTTCAACAATGCTTGACGTGTTGGAAGCCAGGCTCTCCCGAGTGCTAAAAGAGTAAAAAGGTTTTGTTTTGTTTTGTTTTGAACATAAATAATTATAGAGTGAGTTCCAGAGGAAGAGCAAATGATGTCATTAATGGATTTCCTCTGTTGGTTCATAATGTCATATATATAACATCTCATACTGATTATTCACATATGCTCCTCCAACATGGCTCCAGCAGCTTTCACAGACATCTATAATCAACAGCACACTGAAGAAAGGGTTTTTACACAGCTAAGTGCACTTTAAATGTCTTCCCCCTCCTTTTACATTCAAGGAAACTACTTCCAAATTTGATGTGATGGATAGCTATCGCATCAGGTTTTAAAAAAAGAATACTTGTAAATATACACATGTAATGATTTCATTTCAGTCTGGAAATTCATTGCTATATTGCTCTTTAGTAAACTCAATAATTGTACCTTAATGACTCTGTTTGCATTCTTGATTAGCAGATTTTGACTTTGGTGGACTTCAAGCATGCCACCGGCTAATTTGTTGTACTGATGGAAATAAAATTCTTTTTAAACACCTTCATGTAGCTGTTTCAAATCTTAACGCTTTAGTTAAAATACATTATATTTTCAGATAAGGAATCTTAGATGCTTCCTAATTCATTTGTGAAGTTTACATTTATCCACACCCTCCTACTTTGGTGGGAATACTTTATATTTTAAAGAGGTCTTATGGAAAAGAGGTGTCTTAAAGACTTTAGTTTTTGATTTCTCTTAATTTTTCTAAGTTAGAAATACTGGAATCTATTTTAGTGCTCCAAGAAATTTAGAACATTTCAAATGTGTAGTGCAATAGCAGAAATAAGATTACTTGGCCTAATTGATGGGAAATGAATGGGTTTCATGTCTCGGACCCTCAAAATGGTAGTAAGAAACTTACCAGCTTACAAAGAGACTGAAGAAACCATATAATGTTCAAAATATTCACCCTAGGGAGTCAAATATATGATGATGGAAGAAGAACTGACTCTGGGTGGTGAACACACAATATAATATATAGATGATGTTTTATATAAATGTACACTTGAAACCTATATAATTTTACTAACCAGAGTCACCCCCAATACATTTCATAAAAAATATTCACCCTATTGGATCAATTCAAGGTTTATAAAATATTTGATGAGAGCTGGTCCTCATAACTGATTTAAGCTTGCTGAAGCTAGTCTGCAGGTCAAAGTACTACAGTGGGCATCCTAGCTGCCTCTCACTCCCGTCCTAAACTGATAGCAATTTTGTCTTAATCCTAGATCTTGGCAGCCCTTACTAACAGGTTATTTCATCCTAACCACTTGTGGCCTTCAGTTTGCTTCTCATCAAGGAGCCAGGAGTTAATTGTTTTTTAAAAAATGGTTCATTGACTACCAAAAAAACCCCTGGACCTTTCTTGACGGCAGAGGGTGGTACCTCCAGAAGGTTAAAAACATTTATAGAAATAAGTCAAGTTCTCCCATTATACTTATGGTAAATCTGAGCCTACCTAAAAAATATTCAACATATCATCACTAAAGGGATAGAAAGTACTAGATTTACCTACTTACCTGCCTTACACCTTCTCTAAGAAAACTCATTAGTGGCTTGCCAGCACTACAGCAGAGGCATAGGGTCAGGTAGAAGATGGAAGAAAAGCAATAAACATGTGGAACCCCAGAGATCTCATGAGACATTCCTTCAGTTTCATTCTTAATCGTGATATTACCTTTTATGGTATTTGACCTCCTCATTTCTAAAATCGGAGTTACGTGACTTACCTCACAGAGTTACTGTGAAGAAGAAACGTGTCAATGAAGAATTTGTATAAAAAAAAGTTAGACAAATGTAAATTATTTCTGTTGTGCTTCTGGCATGTAATGAATGAAATAGCTACTGTGGGTTGGTTTAGGAATCTACATGACTAATGGCATCTTTTCTATGGGAAAACGCATTTGAAGGCCCAAAGGACCCACGTTTAAACCAGCTTTTAAGGCATGGTCTTAACATTTATCAAGTATCTGCTATATGCCAGGCACTGTACCAGGCACTGTAAACACACATCATTGCAATACATCATGTCCATTTGTGGCTGTCTGTACTCTAAGATGCCTCTGTGACCTTAGCCAACATATTAATAGTGATAAATACATATAGTACTCCAGTTTCTCCAAAGGATATATTTCATTATTGCTGTAATCATGAGTATAGTGTGTGACATTCACACTGAGAACTCTGGATATGATGGTGAAAAAAGTTAATGGAAATGGAGTATTAACAGTAAAGATTTTCCTCAAGTTTAAAAGTTCTTACTTTTTAAATAAGAGAGCTAATGGAGTACAACATTAAAAATAAGATTTCAGGATTTTATAGGCAGACGGACTGAATCCAGCAGCTCTGTCATTCATCCCCCTGGTTGCATGTGTTTCCCATGGCCTCAGGCTTCGGCAGCACGTGTCATGCGGTACATTAGGCAGACACATCCCTGGCAGCCTCCGGTCCCTATGATTTTCATATTATGTTTATCAACCAGTTTTTGGCCTATGTGGAATAGCAGGCTTTTCACAGCTATGGCATAGCTTATGTTTGTACCTTTTTTCCTTCTCAATACTCTTTAGTTCCCAACAAAAGGGACTGAAGAATTTTGGAAATGTGGTTGAAGATGACTTCTGAGCCAGTATTGAAAGCTGGGAGTGTGGCGATCACATTTTTTTCTTTTTCTTTTTTCCAGTTGGATCTTAGTTGCTCAATGATTTACTGTAAGACCTGAATAAATGGCCCACTTAAGATTCCTGTATCTCACAACAGTGGGGAGGTGTCAGCACGATAATGCTATTTGGCTAAAATACTCCTCATGCTAGAGAGTAAAACTCCCTATAACTCAAATATTCTCCTTCGTAGACCATCCTCATGCATTAGAAAGGCAGCTTAGTGAATTTATTGAGGCATGCAGAAAATACAGTTTAAAAATAGGTATGAAAAATAAGTTTGTCATCTAGCTTCTAACTAATGTATATTAAATATGAAAGGGGTACAGTAAGGAACTGTTACGTAGATTCTCTAACTGCATGAAATTTATGGATGATCTACGTATTCCTATAGAGAAAATTCTACCTAATAATAGTGGACAGACACGTAGCTAATTTGTGAAGGTTGTCTCTTCAGAACGACCTTTACCTTCTACCATGACAAAGCATTTAACCTTAAGTACATTATTAAAGATATGCAAAAATACATATTTCAAGAAGTAGTTCATTCATAAACTCTATATTCTATATGCCAAATTTGGAGATAAAATATATTCTGTGGAGAGACTGGTTCAACTATTTCATGAATATTTATTTCTTTGCCCCCAAACAAACAAAAAACTTTCAATATTATGTAGTGGTAGGTTTCTGAGTTAGAAGCTATTAAGCTACTCTCAATGTCTCCTTAGCAACTATCTCTGGAGTATGGCAGTATTCCCTCTGTAAGGCCAGGGGCCAGGAGGCAACATGAAGGGTTGGAAATGGTTGTGTGAAATATATTAGGTGGGTAGAGTCTATATAATAAGAAACAGTAGAACATAAGGTACAGGCAAAGAAACCACACCTTTCCATAAGCGATGGTTTTGAACTTCGACCATCGATTACAGACTGTCAATTACGCTTATATGGTATCCACTGTTAGGAATTCAAGAGGAGGAAAGAGTAGCAGAAAGAAATAGCTGGTAAATAAATTAAGATTTGATTTGGAATAGAAAAATATTTAGCACCAATTATTTCTTAGAAAAGTCACTTAATAGGCCAGTAGTTTCCAGACTGAGTACCATGCTCCCTCAGGTCTCTTAGGGCTCCTAAAGGATGCATAGAAAAGATCTGGGACCCCTGGTTTCTCACCCACTTTAACCAGAGTGCCATCTCTGTGGTCTGTTTAGATACTAGACTTCCACACATGTGTTAACTTGGAAAAAAGGTTACATGGCAATAATAATATTAATAGTAACATTAATAATAATAATAATGATCTAGCCCTTTAAGAAATAACAAAGGCCTAACATGGGACAAACAGACTAATGATTCCCAATTCTAATTTGGGATGCTCTGTCCCCAAATTATCCAGAGATACAGTGAAATAATCACAATAGTGCTAATTTTAATTTTTAATAATTAAAATAAATATATGAAGTACATAATCATATCTGGATACTTGTTAAAGTTATAAATATTGTAATATCTTGGGAATCTCATGAGAAGACTAATGAGAAATGTCAATTTCTCAACAGTATTTCTGCATCTCAGAGTCACCAATCTGGAGTAGAACTTAGAAGGAGAATTAGGTCCCGAGTTGCATTTTGAGGAGAAGGAAGAGTTAAGGAGAAAAAAAGGAAGTTGCATAGACTCTCTTGTGCTTTCTTAATCCCGAATCACTTCAGTGTATTGGACATGACCATTGGGCATTACATACTCTCAACTGTCAACCCTTTGCTGAATGACCAGCACCGACTAAAAAGAAGGGGCTATGATTAGAGGATTATGATTAGGTGGTATCAGCTCTGCAGGAAGAGAAAGAACAGTTCTGGCACATGCTCTGATCTAACAGGGCACAGGCCCCAATATTTCTGTGAGAGGAATACGGTCCATTTATCTATAGACACGAGAGGTAAGAGGAAGGTGTATGAGCATAGGGGGCGGGGGGTGGGCACACGAAAAGTCAGGTTAAAATGGTAGTAAGCTTCTAGATCCACTGGAAAGGTTTTGAGATCTGCTGTTACAGTTGGCCCTTGAACAACACAGGGGTCAGGAGCACCAACCCCCATGCAGTCAAAAATCTGTGTATAACTTTTAACTCCCCAAAAAACTTGACTGGTAATAGCCTACTGTTGACTGGAAGCCTTACTGATAACATAAACACATATTAACACATATTTTGTATGTTACATGTATTACATACTGTGTCTTACAATAACATCAGCTAGAGAAAAGAAAATGTTATTAAGAAACTCATAAGGAATAGAAAATACATTTACCACATTTATTGAAAAAAATAATCTGTATATAATTGGACCTGTGCAGTTCAAACCTGTGTTGTTCAAGAGTCAACTATATATTTTCACTAGAGGGACCCCCGTCTTGGAGTCAATCGACTTATTCCTGACCCCTATCCCACCCACCCAATGACTACTCATTCTACTCAAAAAGTTACTATTTTTGAAGGACTTAAAAAAAAAAAAACCTTCCTTTATCAGCATGGTGGCAATATAAACATAGAAGAAAAAATACTGGGAAATGCTGGTATTAGACTGGACTGATGCAAGTTTGAGGGAAGGAGCCAACCCACCAGTCCAGATTGGTGATCTCTACAGCTGCAGAAACATTTGTTTCAATTCCTGAAAAAGAAGTCAGAAACAGGTTGTTAACAATACAACTCACACAACTCTTAAGCCCTCATTCACAGAAGTGAGACCGTGAAATCATCAGTTTTTCAAATGATCTGCATAAAGCCCCAGGCCCCGGTAGGTGTATGTGTGTGCAAAGATGCCTCTCCCTACCGTGGGGAGTTGAATCCACTGTCCACAGTGATGCTGCTGCTGTCCATGCTGTCGAGGCGTGCTGAATGGGTGGTTCTCTGGTGGCTGCTGCTGTCCGTTTCTTTTGGGGCCAGAAGGGTGAGGTTCTTCTCAAATTTCCTCTGCAAGTCTCTTTCCTTCTCCCTCTCGAGGAGCCACTGCATGGTGCCTACATCATCTCTGTTTTTCTCTTCCTCGGTGTTTTTGTTGGCCCCTTCCTCAGAGTCATCATCATCAGAGACATTGTAATAGTCAAAAGAGGCTTCCTGGTTCCCCCCTGACTCCTGCTGACGTTGGAGAGCTGGCATAGCTTGTGCCGCTGAGGTCCCCAAGGATGGCTCCAGTTTCTCGCATCGGCCTGGCAGTGTGTCAGCAGATGTCTTCGGGTGAGATTTGAGGAGGGACAGGCTGGATTTGTGATAGCTGTTTACAGACAAGGTGCTGTGAAGAGGTTTAAAGAGTGTGTCTTTGCTGAATATCTCTTTCCTCTTGTCCAGGCTGCTGGGCTCAGCGCTGTGATGCTGGATGAGGCGTCCATTGGCAATCCCTTCGGCCGCTGTGCCCGAAGCAGCCGGTCCCCCGCCTGGCCCCTTTGGTGACTCCTCCTTGTGCCCTATAGGCTCCCTAGAGGAATGTGGGGCCTGCCTATCTGACAGAGGCAGCTTTTTCACCCCCTCTGCCAGGGTCATAGTGTCATGGTCCTCCTTATTCTTTCCCAGAGGTGACGGCGCAGTGAGCACCGTCTCACTGGAGGTGTTGCACTGGAAATAGTCATCCGCAGCTGTTTTTGTTGGACAAGAGTTGAGTTCACCATAGGATGGTAAACTCTCAGGTGGTTTGCCTGGCTCCAAGAGGCTACAAGCACTGGATGGTTCCTTGAGGCCACTGACAATTTCTGGAATACACACCTCTTTGTAGCTTGTGGACAAAATGTGAGCCCTTTGATGACCAGCAGTCTGTGCAGGTCTCAAAGTACTATCATCGATGTAGGACTGGCTGGGGGTTTGGTCATCCTGGCTGCAGCCTTCAGCCAGGTCATCAGGCGTCCCCAGAGAGGAAGCACCCAGAGGGCCCTTGGAGTTGTCCATGGACCTGGATCTCTCCTTGGCTTTGTTGGACCTCTCATTCCTGGACCGTCGGTCCTGGGTATGGCTGTGGCTTCGGTGCACTTTTGAATGGGAGCTCCCCCTGGAAGGTTCAGGAAAAGGCATCTCAGTTCTCCTTTTGGCCAGCTCCCCCGACACATCCCATTCTGGTGTCATGGGGAAATGAGGTTCGATCACGTTCGTGTTGCTATGCATGATGAAGTTCTCTCCTTTGTGTTCAATGATGAAGCAGCCCTCCCTGGGGGCCCTGGTAAGAGGATCGCAAAAGTCATACTCTCTGTCACCCGGGATATCCAGATGAGAACCATCTGATGGGTCTCCTTTAGACACTCGTGTTTTGCTGTGTGACCGAGACTTTCCATGGGACTTTCGATGAGTCCTACTCTTTTTACTTCTTCCACTGTGATGGGCAGAAGACCCGGCTTTACTCCTATGCGCTTTTTCTTCTTCAAGTTTCTTCATTAGTGCAGTGTGCCGCATGACATTTTCCACGGTCAAGTCCGGGTTAATACGCCTAATGATTTCCATTTCCACTTCCCGAGGGATAGTAGTTGGTGTGTCCTCGTCTCGCAGGGGCCACTCTTCAGGAGGAAACTGGGCCGAGAAATTGGCTAGCTGTTTGGTCTTGTCTTTTTTAAAACTTAGCCGGAATAACTTGAGCCCAAATTTTTTGGACTGCTTTTCACTATCTTTAGGTTTTGAGAGAGTTTCTGTCTTATAAGAAAAATTTACAGTACTTTTGCTCTTTTCAGTGGGTGGTACCTGGCAGAGTGAAGGAGGGCAATACGGGTCTTTGCAGTCCTTGGCAGGTTTCCTCTGCAGAGTCGATGCATGCATGCTGTGCATGTCTTCTCTGCAGCAGTGGCAAGAGTCGCAGTGGTTTCTGGGTAATGTCCTTTCCCTGACACAGCCTGAGGCAGAGGGCGTTATGGTTCCGGGTTGTGGGGAGGTACACTGAGACCTGTCAGGTATCCTCTCGTCCAAATGGTACCATTTACTGTTAGTTCTTATGAGGGAAGGTGTTATGAAATAAGTCTGTGGGGTCACGATGAAATAGCCATCTGGAGTTGGGTAGATTTTCCTCTCCCGTACCAGTGTGTTCAGGGTGTGCCGTAGAATTTCTTGGCTTGGGGTGGGAACACCTATAACCAAGAGAAAACACTCATGAGAATGAAGAGGTAATGTGTTGTTGATTCCCGAGTTTTCAGACTCTGCTATAGACTGGAATCTTTTCCCCCCAAGATTCATATGTTCAAGCCCCAATCCCCAGTATGATGGTATCAGAAGGTGGGGGGCCTTTGGGAGATTATCAGGTTTACATGAGGTCATGAGAGTGGAGCCCTAATGATGTCACATTATAAGAAGAAGAGACCAGCGCTCTCTCTCCCTCTCTGCAATGTGAGGATACGGCTGTCTACAAACCAGGAAGAGGTTCCTCGCCAGACACCAAATCTGCAGGGGCCTTGATCTTGGACTTCCCAGCCTCCAGAACTGTGAGAAATGAATGTCTCTTGTTGAAGCCACCTGATCTATGATATTTTGTGACAGCAGAATCTAACGTAGATAGAATCCTGTTAATTTGGCCAAACGTCACAGTATTATCATATAGCAAGTGAGCATGATTCAAAGGCATTCTTTATGTTTAGTGTGAACACTAGTTTTCTCCAATGACTCATGAATCTTACTACCAATAGAATGGGGAAATACAAGAGCTGGGAAGAGGGAGATGGATAGATAGATGGAGTTAGGCTGCTACTGTTCTTACAAACCTTTACTGAACTGAATCATTAAAGACAGACTATTTTTAAATGAGGGGGAAAAATGAAAACTGTTTTACATGATATGATAGAAATTTACAAAAAAGACTTTTTCAATAAAAGTAACTAGGGAAACGGTTGAACTAACCATCTTGGTATTGAACTACTAATCTAAAATATATAGAGGGCTATATATATATATGGAGCTACTCTATACAGTCATTTTTTTAAGATTGAGTTTACTTAATAAACTTCATTTTATAAATTATATAAAAGGGCAACTGGGATTGACCATTGTTTATGATGTACTATCCAATTTTGAAACCATGGCTTTCAATTTTTAAAGTGATTACAGCCTTGGTGAATTCAGGTTAGATCTTCCTCCTTCTTGGCATTAAGTCAGCAGGATGGAGGTGGTTTTTCTAATCTGTAGCCAGAGAAGCCCTAATACATACTCTCACGAAAGCTTAGGTGCTCTACATCTTTCTGGTCACTGAGGCCAAAATTGCCATATTTGCTAGAATATAAATTCTAGAAGAAAATCATATTGGGTTATCGGAAAAGTCATGATGTATTTTTCCTATGTTCTTCATTGCAAAAATGCGTCATGACTTTTCCGACAACCCAGTAGCTACTCCTTTGTACAGTAACTGATATTGCTTTCAAAAGGTTTTGTGTTCATGTTTATGCCTTGTCTACTTTAAGAGACAGGCTTAGGACTATACATACTGAAGAGATTATAAATTTTCCTGGCTGGAGCACATTTACTTTATTTCTTGGATATTCTCCATTCCTCAGTACCAGGCACATTGAGGGTGATAATATTTATAAGATTGACCTGAATGATATATAGTCATGCGTCACTTAACTTCGGGGATACGTTCTGAGAAATGCATTGTTAGGCGATTTCATTGTTGTGCAAACCTCCAGGAGTGCACTTATAGAAACCTAGGTGGCATAGCCTATTACACACCTAGGCTGTATGGTATAGTCTGTAGCTCCTAGGCTACAAACCTGTACAACATATTACTGTACTGAATACTGTAGGCAACTGTAACACAATGGTAAGTATTTGTGTATCTAAACATAGAAAAGGTACAGTAAAAATATGATATAAAAGATAAAAAATGGTACACGTGTATAGAGCACTTACCATGAATGGAGTTTGCAAGACTGTACATTGCTCTGGGTGAGTCAGTGAGTGAGGGTGAGTGAATGTGAAGGCCTAGGACATTACTGTATACCACTGTAGACTTTATAAACTTTGTCCCACAAGCCCTCCTCCTGCTCCCTTCTGACAGGGTCAGAAATAAAACATCAAAGCTGCCAATGCTGTAGCATGAACAGGGATGTGGGCTGGATTGACCAGAAACATCGAGGAGAAACTGGCTGGGTAAGACACAGGTCACTGTAACAGTGAGTGTCAGGAGGGAGGGAAAGGTGGCCTGAGGATCAGTAGGAATAAGAAATTAGGATGGAGAGATAAAGGAACATAGGGGACTGTCATAGCAATGTGATTGTGGCTACTGCATGTTGGAGCAGTGGTCAGATTAAGGAACTTTATGGTTCTCATAATAAAAGAGAGTGTTTAACATGTAGAGGGTGTAGAACTGAGGACTCAACATTTTGACTTCAGAAATGTGTTTTTTTGGTTCCACTAATGCTATCTGGTACAAAGGGCTTTCTCTGGTATTGAATTGATGGAAGAAAGAAAACTTATCTATGCTTTACATCATTTCAACCTGAAAATATTTCCAGAGTACAGGGACAGGCTGGCTCCATACTACTAGTGACGCTTTTACTACAGTGGCAGTGGCAAGTAATACCTGTTAAGGTAGGTCCTGTGGACCTGTGTCCTTGTACCAGATCTGAGGTCCTCAACAAAGAATTTACAGCAGTGTGCTCTGAAGACCATCAGGGTAGGTCTGGGAGGGCTCTAGCGCCCTCTGAGTATGTAGCGCTAGGGGGACAGGCTCCCCTGTGCTGAAACAGGTCAGTAGCTGACTGACTGGGATATAATCTATACACTCAAAATTCAGGTGCTGTGAGTGAATCTCTGCCAAGCCCCACAGTTATTGCTCCCATCAGAGAAAAAAAAAAATCCTCCTGAACCACATACCCTTCCATTTCTTACAGGAAATTCAGCTCCATTCTAATCTTACAGGACGAGCATCCTATATACGATCTGTCATTGACAGAAACGTCATATGTGGTGCATGACTGTAATTTGGAAATAGTTCAGGTTGACTCATACTGCCAATATTCAATTGTGTCTGACCCACAAAAATGACAATTTCAGTAGAGACCGAAAGCTTGGGCTCCAGGGCCAGACTGCTAGATTGAAATCCATCACTGTTAGTTGGTGTTATTGGTTGAATTATGGCTCACCCACTGCTATTCATATTTTGAAGTCCTAACCCCCAGTACCTCAGAATGTGGCCTTATTTGGAGACAGGATCTTTACAGAAATAATCAAGCTAAAATAAGGACATTAGGTGGGCCCTAATCCAATATGACTGGTGTCCATCTTAAAAGGGGAAATTTGGACATAGAGGCATGCATAGAGAGAAGACAACGTGAAGAGCAGGCAGCTATCAGCTAGCCAAGGAGAGAGGCCTGGAACAGATTCTTTCCTCACAGTCTTCAGAAGGAACCAACCAACTCTATCTTGATTTTGGATTTCTAGCCTCCAGAACGGTAAAACAATATGTTTCTGTTGTTCAAGCCACCTATACTTTGTTATGGCTGCTCCAGAAAACTAATACAACAGTACCACCTTAAGTTAGACAACTTGCTTAATCTCTCTGAGCCTCTATTTACTATCACCAAAATGTGGATCATAATAGTGCCTACCCTCATAGGGTTGTTGTGAGTGTGAATGAGTTTAATGTATGTACAGGTGTGATCAAAGAATACAGTGAATATTTACATAAAAATAATTTATACAGTAAAAGACACATTGCCATTAATCCCCCTCAAAATACTCCCCTTTGCTTCGAACACATTTATCCCATTGTTCCTGCCACTTTCTGAAGCAGTTCTGGAAGTCCTCTTTTGTGAGTGTCTTTAGTTGTGCTGTTGTGGCTGCCTCGATGTCCTGAATCCATTCAAAATGTTTACCTTTCATGGTCATTTTGACTTTGGGGAAAAGCCAGAAGTCGCACGGTGCCAGATCCGGTGAATAAGGTGGATAAGGACACACCATAATGTTTTTATTTGACAGAAATTGCCATAAACCAGAAGCAATGCATGACACAGAGCATTGTCATGATAGAGGATGAAGTAAAGAGACTCACGAAAGAGGACTTCCAGAACTGCTTCAGGAAGTGGCAAGAACAATGGGATAAATGTGTTTGAAGTGAGGGGCAGTATTTTGAGGGTGATTAATGGCAATGTGTCTTTTACGTAATAGATCTTTTAAATTTAAACATTCGTTCTGGGTGGTAAACACACAATGTGATATACAGATGATGTATTACAGAATTCTACACTTGAAACCTATGTAATTTTACTATTCATTGTCACCTTAATAAATTTTAATTAGAAAAATAATAATAAACATTTACCATATCTTTTGATCACACCTCGTACAACAGCACCTGACACAGTGAGTTCTCAATAAATATTGGCTATTAGTAGTCTAAACTTTGGGTCAGGACCCATGCAAATCCAGATTACCTTCAAAGAACATTGCATAGCAACCTAGAACAGCTGGGTAAGATGAGAAGTTCAGGCTCCCCTAATCTTTCTAAAACTATGAAGGTAGGATGTGAAAGCATTAAGGGGAGAGAGTCCATGACTCTAATGTAACATAGACACACCCGTTTGTGTTACCATCTTCAGAAGGCATTCTTTAGTGACTGAAGTAGAAAAGGTAACATTGCCTATGAATAATGTTTATATTGTTTAATATAATTATTTAATTTTTGATCTGCTTAGTTTTCTATTAGTCTAAGGCTCTACTCTTAAGAAATGTATATTGGTTTTATGCAAACGATTTCAAGGCTGGGATAATATTTTTTCTTAAATTTTATGAGCGTTTCTGCACAAAATAAAAATGAATTCCAATTGAATTGGTGCTATAACCCAAACCATATCTATGCAATTCTTGAGAACCATCATAAAGCAAAATATGCTTGCACTGGAGAGAAGCAATTTAAAAGAACTGCGAAGCCCCACTGTCAGCCAGGGCCTTCTGCTGAACTTCAGGGGGCTCCATTCATAGAGACTACAGCTCCTGAGATGAGACACTATTCACACTGCAGTCTCACGAATGACACCACTGGAGCTGTGCAGCTCAGCAATTCAGATAACAAGCCCATATTTAAAACTGAGTGTATTACACATGGTAGCATACTTTCAATCAATATTCTAACAGAAAGCAGTTTTTCCAAAAATGGTAGGGCTCGTTTATAAGAATTCACAATTGAGTTTATTATGCTGCTATAATAAAGGAAAGCTGAAGTGTAATTCATAAAAATCACTATTAATATAAAACAAAAATTTAACTGTATAGAACTTGCTGATTGTAGGCCTTCAAAGTAATGATCTTAGAAAAGTAACAAAACGACACAGAACCCTGACTACAATGTCATCATTCCTTACCATTAAGAATAAGCTCTCTGTTCCCACATGAAACTATAATAAAGAGCTTCCATTGAGAATTTACATCTAAAGTTTTTATGTCCTGGGTTTGCAAGTATATCAATCAAATAATTTTTTGAAAAAGTTTTAATTTGGAAAAACAAACCAGAAACATTCCCTGTTCAAGCCATTTTCCTTACTTCTACCTGTGCATTTTCAAAGCTTTAGCTGAACGTCACTGATCTTGATGCTTATTATTAGTAAGCGCTAGTACAATGACCGACATTTACAATGTCTATGAAATCCAGGGTTCCCCTAGAAATCTGCAGGGACCACCAAAAAAATATATGGTTGTGATGGATATTTTTAACGTTTACATGTTCCATCATTTCCAGATTCTACTCCCAAAGTTCATCAAGAATTCAGATTTTGAGAGCTTAAAGAACAAAGATAAGCTTTACAATCAAAAAGGGCTGAGACCTGGCCTCTGTCTTACCTTACTACTGAAAGGAAAGGGATGGCCTGGAAGTTAAGAAAGAAAGACAAACAATCAGACTGAAGAACATTCAGAGATAATAAAATGTTACAAAATTTAAGATAATTTATAGGTTGCAAGGGTGGGTTCATGGTAGAGTTTTAAACCAGTATACATGATATCACACATATTAATAAGAAAACTTGAAAGAGGAGGAAAAATCACTGCAAGAGAAATACAAAGTTCCTCTGGGGCAAAAGGAAATGTGGGGAGACTCAATATGGTTGATGACTGCTTAGTTTAGAAGTAGTCTTTCTGCCCTCTCCCCATGGGTGGGGTGCATTTCCCCACACCTTGACTTTGACTTTGGCTGGGTTCGCTTTAGCCAATGACATTTAGTGAGTGTGGCATAACCAAAGGGCTGAAGGGCTCTTGTGCATCTAAGCTGGCTTTCTTGTGTCTCTGCCATCCCAATGAACAGAATAGACTCTGCTTGTCCCCGTTTCCAAAGGGGATGGGGTACAGATGCAGCAGAGCCACCTAGCTTGGACCAGTCTCAATCAACTGAGCCCTGGAGAACCCACAGACACATGAGCTAAATAAATGTTTATTGCTGTATGCCACTGATGTTCTACAAATGTTTGTTATCCCACATTTTTTCTAACAAATGTTAACTGATACAAACAACAGCTTACATTTACGAAGACGGTCTCTTCTCGGTTGAATGAAAAATATGCAAAGCGTTTGTTTTTAATGTAAGCTCTATTTCAGTCTAGGCATAGGTTGAGTCCAAAGCAAGCTGCCAAACGGGTGGCCCAATAACGTGTTTGACTTACATGTCATTGGCATGCACATGTTAAAATGTACACACACACAATTGCCAATATTTAAGGGAATCTAGAGATTTCACATAAAACTGAAATTCCTGATTCTCTTGAAAACTTAGATTTGGCAACTCCAGCTGGGTCTTACATTTTTGGGTAGAGAAGGGAATAATACACTAGAGCTGAGTAGTGGGCTACCTCTTGAGATGGGGCACACTCTCTTGAGCTTATCACCTTTCCTAACATCTTCTAGTACTGGAAACATCAAATGCTATTCACACAGTAGCTGGGCTATCGTCTTCTTTTTATAATAGTTAAGAGAAATTTGAACTATTTTATTTTTTCTTTTAAAATGAGATCTTAGCTAATTTATCAAATATCATATTCTTAAAATTCATCAAGCCATGACATAAGCATGCAAGATACATTTAGTTTTGCTATTACTCTCTCTGTAGTTTAATTCCTTAGGACTAATGTTTTCAGTTGTTTCTGAGTCGCTCCCATGGATCATGATGTTCATGTATGTAAAGAAGGCTGTGCTACAAAGGAATCTTGGTCGTTTTTACCAGAACTCCTCATGGATTCTGATTTAATTTCTTTTTCTTGGTGTCAATTAAAAAAGTATTACAGGGCCGGCCGAGTGGCTCAGTTGGTTAAGAGCTCGCTCAAGAGTGTGAGCTCTGAGCAACAGGGTCGCTGGTTCGATTCTCGGCCCATGCTGAGCTGCCAACAGGTAGCAGAATGGCTCAGCTAAAAAAAAACAAAAACAAAAACAAAACAACAACACAAAAACAGTATTAATTATTTTTGAAGTAACACAGGTGCCTTAATTTTTAATTACAGAACTAAGAAAAGTGTCTGGTCAATTTTGGCAAAGATTATTTTTTATTGGATTTAAACACAAGAGGAACTGTCCCTTTGCAGTCGTGGAGCAGTCAGAGCACACCGGGCATTTGCAAGCTGCTTACACTCTTTTCCCATTACCTGGGAAACATGTGGTCAGGTGCTCCATCAGTGCTTCTTGGGTGACAGGTTTTCGTGCCGAGTTCATTGCTGAGATGGCCAAGCAAAGGATTTCCCCGAGTGGAATAAACTGAGATTGGCTGATGGGAGACATACTGATTGGTGATACATCACCTGCAGAAAGACAATTTTCAAGTGAGTGGTTCATTAAAAGACCTGGCTACTTGTCATACACACACCTTCACACATACACTCCCCTCCTATGATTCTCACCTAGTCCCTGTATTATGAACATGGTCAACTCCAAACACTGACATTTGTTCACACAACTACAGCCTGTTCCAATCAGGTGGAAAGACTTCTACAAAACAGGGGAAGCTCCAGTTGTTTTGATAAATAAAACTTGCCTTTAAAACCTGACCGCTCATTTAAATAGATGTCTTACAGAAAGGCTTGCAACAACGAGACTTTGAAAAATGATCTCTGTTTTTATTAACTTGGAGCTGATTTATTTATTAACTGCTATTGACAACTTGACAAATGCACTTGAGGATTCATTCATTCAAATGGTGGGTGCCTTTTGCAGGTCAGGCATTTGCTGGGGGCTTGGGAACGTAAATAAGGCCCCTTCCCCCAAACATCTCTGTCCTCAAAGAGCTTCTATTCAAGTGGAGGAGACAGACAACTAAACCAAAGTTCAGGGTGCACCAGAGAAGGCTGAACACCAACTCTGGAGCAAAGAGGGGAGGACAGCGTACACCACCTGGGAGGTGAGGGTGGGGCTTAGGAGAAGGAGGTGAGAGAATGTTTTACCCCGTGATGAAGCAGGAGTGGTGTCTGCTGGCTGGGAGGCGGGGGTGACGTAAGGGGTTGTAGGAACTACAAGCAAGTGTTTCTGGGGAGTAGTAGAGCAGGCCTACAGGGACAACCAAGGGAAAGAGCTGAGTGCCCAAGGCCTTCATCCTATGAGGGATGGAGAGCCATAGGAGGAATTCAAGGAATGACCAAGTCAGATGTGAATTCAGAAAGATGATTCTGGTGGCTGCGCAGAGGATGGGCTGGAGAAGCAGGAGAGGGCAGATTACATCCACAGGGGGCTGTGGCTTCCTGCACATGTTTATATCTAAGAGAGTGAATGGAGGCAAGAGAGGCTGAAGACCCAGCAGTGAGGGGTCTAACGGGCTGTGGCTGTTGAGAAAGTGTCAACATGCACTGCAAATATCTGTCTTCATTCCTGCGATCTTTATGATCTTTACATCACAGTCTGGTGATTTTCAAGTTATGCTGGAAGGTTTCCTAGAATTCCTTGGAAAGATTTCTGAGTCTGGGGCACTCCTAACAGAGTGGGAGGCTGGGAGAGCAGGAAAGTCCGCTCCTGACATGACATGTGGGTACCCCATTTTATACTTTGGGGTTCTGTAAGGTTTCATTTGAAAAAAGACTCTACAGAAAAGGTGAAAACTATCAGCAGAGTAGAACATCTGTGAGCTTCTAAGCATATTTCCCACATAATTTCCCCTCTTTTGTTTTCTAAGCATGACTTCTTTCTTGTAATAAGCTACCATGGCTAGCCAGAACTGGCATTCAGGTCAGCCTGTGGCATTAAGCAACACCCTCTCCGGAAGGGATCTGGGCACACTGGGCACTAAAAGCTATGTCCAGCCACAAACCCTCATTTGATGGGAGTCCAGAGCCCCTTTGAGAAAGAATTTGAACCTTATTTTAATGGACTGAATGGGAAATAGTTTAATGGATGAAACCAGGCAACAGGGACTGGGAATGAAAACCACCAGGTGAGGAGATAAGTCTAACAGGTGCACCAGATAAAGCAGCAGGACCCCAGTGTCAAAGACCTGACCTTCCCCCCACAAACCCAGTTCAGTTCAATGCTCTCCTCTCTCCTGCATTCCTTGAGGCTCCGATCAGCTCTGCTGTGGCTCCATTCTCTGTAAGATGGGATGAGAAAAAGGCACTTTCCCAAGAACCAGAGAGAGCGGGCGAGTATGCAAATCCAGAACAGGGAAGGCCAGCAAACATAAAAATCAGCAGAAAACAGGAACTGAGCTAACTTAGAACCCACCAGCTTCTGGAGCTATGGAATACAAGTATCATAAAGAGAAGGCCTCTGAGAGATTCCTGCAAATATTTGGTGGGGTAGAAATGGGTAGAAGCTAGAACGTGGGATTTAGGGCTGTTATTGTGGATGTCAGTTTCATTCGCTGGCTTGTACTGAAGCTTAATTCATACTGGTGACTCGAAAATGACAGAATTATGTGGGCTGGGACCACCTCTGTGGGTAAGTGGGCTACTTCCTAAGAGAGTGTATTTAATTCTTTAAAAAAACCACCTGTTGTACCCTTCAATTCAAAGGAAATATTATTCTAAAGCCTAATGTGTAAAAGATGAACTAGTGGAGGTGGCCAGATGAGTGCGGGTGGGGGTTTGGAGCTATACCTGTTCAACTCTCCCCTCCCCAAAGGGGGGCCCTGTAGTTTAGCCACAACTACTCTAAAGCTTTCTTTCTGTCTCCCTGCAGCTTCTACAGGAGAGGATGAGGACTCTGAGGCCAGGTTTCTTGATGAGGTGCTAGATTGGCAATGTGGACCTCAAAGTTACCTGAATTGAGTTTGTAAATCAGATGAAAAGGAAGGTAAGGTCAGCTGGCAACAGGGGAGATCAAAGCATGCCCCTGTATCTGGGGTGTTAACACCTTCTAAAATTTTCCTATCATAATTAAGGATTTCTCAGAAGATGAAAAGTAGAAAATTATCAAATATGATGTTTTTTAAAAATGTAGATCTATTTTCTGATTTTGTATAGGTTACTTGATCTCTCTGTAAAAATGAAATGACTATTAGCAAAATTAACTAGTTTAGGTCATGTTTGTCCTTATGCTTTTAGCTGAAATTACTTGTTTAGTTTAACTGCCATCTCCTAATTTCTTTTCATTTATTGCAGCCATGCTTTAAGTGTCTGAATTGTGTTTGCTTTGGAAAACCTCAGTTCCACTATAATAATGAATATATGCAAGCACTTTTAACTCAGGATATACGACAACATGGAATTTGGATGCTCTAAGTGACTATCTCCACGTCATCTCGTTTTTTTAATGCTGCACTAAGTAAATTATTTTCCACTCCCTCCCCAGCCCCAGCCCCACTGGCAATCTTGTTGCTCAAAGTCCAAATGTTTCCTGGACCTCTTCCTCCACTCCATCCTTACTCCAAACCGCCATCACCTCTCACCTAGCCCATTATAATGGCTGGATGACTCTCCGCTTTCCCTCCTGCCCTGACACTGCCTCCTCCACAGAGCAGCCAGGCCTTCTTAGAAAAGCATAAGATGCACCACTTCCCTGCATAAAATCCTACAGTGTCTGCCTATTGCTCCTAGAAGGAAATTGGAATTCCTCACCAGGCCTACAGTGGCCTGCAGGGACTGAGCATGTCCGCCCACTGCTGGGACAGTCTCCCAACCACTCACCACCTGGTGTCGGAGAACTGCTGCTGGTGTGGGGAAAACCATACACACTGGAATTGGTACCAGACTCCTAGCAAGTTACTGTCTTCACTCTCTGAACGTGTGCATGTGTGTTTGTGTGTACTGGTGTACTGTCTCACTCACGAGAATAAAAGCTCCGTGACAGAAGAAAACATGAATGCCTTATTCCCGCCACATTCCCAGAGCCTAGAATAATGCAGAATTTACACCAAACACCAAATCAATGTGTTGAATGAATGAATATCCATTTATAACGTAATCCAAGGAATTCCTCAGGGTATTTAAAGGACTGTGATTTTAAAAACATATTTTACAAAATAATTGCAAAACGAATAAAAAATTTAACAAGAGACCAAATATACCTAACTTATATGCAATTTCTAAGAATCCTCCTATTAATTTCATGAACAATAATTGCCCAAAACACAGCAGTTACCACAGAAAAATAACTATATATTAAGGTTAGAACATACATTGAAGATTCATACTAAAGGAATCATACGTATCTCTCAAACAACATAAGACATTATTCAAGCTTACCATGATTTCCTGTGGCTCTTATAACAGACCCGCTTAATGAGTCAACTAGTTATTGTTAAAATATGCTACTAGACAATTCTTCCAACTGGACCGCACGTATGGCCAAAGAAAACGGGGGATGTAAATACTGCTAAAATATTGTTAGTCATAATTAATCCATAGAATCTACCACATTTTGCATAAACTATGAATTACTACTTCATAGCTACTTTGTGAGCTAACAAATTCTTTCTAAATTGTGATCATTGTGTGTCCTATTGTTCTAAAAAGAAGGGGTAAATAGGTTTTATTTCAGCTTTATTTTCTTACAAACATCCATTTCAATACAGTCCTCAGGGAACATTTGTCAAATCCAGGATGATTCAGATAAAACCAAGCACGGTGCCTTGGACGCAGTACACATTCAATAAATTTCTGGTAAGTGAATTTAAAATGTGAGAAGACCTGAAAATATTACCATTGTAAGTGAACTTCTGTGATTTTAACAGCATTTAACATTAAATTTAAAATACCTCGGTGAACATCTGGACACTGGTTTCCTTTAAGGTGCTTGTCAGCTAAAAAGCATGAAGACAAAGATAAATTTGCCCAGTGGCGATGAGCGGAGTGGAGGATGGAGACCCTACACTAGAGGCAGGAGACAGCATGTACAGAGCATGAGGCAGCATGCTAGGTCTGGGGGAGCTGGGGCATATTTTGGAACACTGGAACAGGCTGGTGGTGGAGAGATGGAAAGAAAAGTAGAAGCCAGAACCTGGTTAACCAGAAGACTTAGATCTTACTCTTAATGCTGATGGGGAACCACCGCATGTGTTTATACAGAGGAATTACATGACATAGTCGTGTTACAAAATCACTCTTAGGCAACTGTGGAGAACAAACCCATGACTATTATAATCACCCAGGCAATTAACAAAGAGGGTCTGGACAACAGGCAAACATGATGCATGTGCTGACTTTCTCTATCTTTTATTGTGTACAGCAAGTTACTTCCGTCTCAGAAATGTCACACACATACATTTTTACTATTTAAACTCTTCTATCTATTCTCCTTTCCAACTCTTGGCCAGTTACTTTCCCTGGAATTATTTTTAAAAAACAAAAACAAAAACAAAAACTCTCTCTCACATAAT